GGGTATCTCTTATTCTCTCTCTCTCTCTCTCTCTCTCTCTCTCTCTCTCTCTCTGTCTCACACACTGCTGGGTCACACTGCTGGGTATCTTATTCTCTCTCTCACACACACACACACTGCTGGGTATCTCTTATTCTCTCTCTCTCTCTCTCTCACACACACTCACTGCTGGGTCTCTCTTATTCTCTCTCTCTCACACACACACTGCTGGGTATCTCTTATTCTCTCTCTCTCTCTCTCTCTCTCTCTCTCTCTCTCTCTCTCTCACACACACACACACACACACACACTGCTCTCCCCGGTGCTCACACTGACAACCTCATTCAGTGCACTATTAGTGCATCTGGCCTGCTCACTTGAGCTCTCAGAGCACTTTCAGTGCGGAGGGGCTTTGACCCGCCTCCCCGGGACGCCCCGGACCCCCTTCTTCTGGGGTTCTTTCTCTGCATCGTCTAGCTCAGGTCCGGTCTTTCGCAGTGTGCCCAGTTCCTAAGTGTCAGGGTACAGGGGCTTTGGACGTTGCCGTGACTGTGTAAAGTTCATCTCTATAAACTAGGCCCTGTGTGGGGCGCGGGCCTGTTTGTGTAGCCCCAGTCCGTTGCGTGCGCCTTCGTGTCTGTGTGGATGGGATGCTTACTGGTTCTAGACACAGAGTTGTGTGTTTGTGGGGTGCATTGCTGTGTACTGATTTTATGAGCTTGGTGTGCGATGGTTGGACATGTGTTGGGCATCTGTCTGGGGGGCGGGCTGTACGTCTGCATTGCACATGTTGGTTCTGTGTGTTTCCTGTGAGTATGCTGGTGCATCGTGTCGCTGTGTGCCGTCGTGTGTGCACGCACGTGTAGCTCTGCCTGTGCGGGGAGCAGAGAGCACAGCGCGGTCCACCCGGACGCCCGGAGCTGGGGCTGCCAGGCGGGGCTGGGGCCGCGGGGCGGCGCTGTGGCGGAGGCGGTGCGGCGTGCGCTGCGAGGCCTGGCGCGGCGAAGGGCACCGGGCAGCCGGAGCTGGCGAGCAGAGCGGGAGGAGCCGCGCGAGTCCGGGGTGGGGGCTCGGGGTGCCACGGGAGCGGACACGCGGTAGCGGTAGTTGGGGGGCAGGTGCTTCCCGGGGCGCCCGGCCTGAGGGTCGGGGGACTGTGGCTGCGGAGTGCGCGGCCCGGAGAGCGCGATGGAGTCGGGCAGGCGCCAGGCCAGGCCGGCGCCAGGCGCCGAGTTGAAAGGCGGCCGCGGCCTCTCCGCGCCGCTCCCCATCGCGCACCCGAGAGCGCAGGCCTGGACCCGCTGGGCTCACCTGGGGGCCTAGGGTCACTAAAGGTGACGGCGGTGGGACGATGGCCCCCTGCGGGACCTGAGCCGCCCGCCTAGGGTCAGCTGGCCGTGCAAAGCACCCTGAAGCTAGGCGCTTCTTCCGCGAACTCCGCCCGGCCAGCGCTGGCACTCCAATGCGCCCGAAGTCCCCTGACCTGGCCAGCCTCATCACCCCACCCCTCCATCCCCCAGTTTCCACAAAGCCCTGGCCGCTCTGGTCCCGTGGTGTGGTTAGAAACAGATTTTGCAGGCTGGGCCTCCTGGGATCTTCCGAAGAAAATAAAAACGCGGGTGTAGACAGCCATCGGGGCTGCGGGGACTCCCCTCTCACTACCCGAAGGACTTTGTGGTCATGGTTCAAAGGAGTTAAATTCACTAGGACCCATATTGCCCGTGGCTGGTTCCCGGGACACGCACACTTCTTGCGAGAGCTTTTGTGGCTCTCGGTGACTCTCAACGACAGGGACTTGGGCTGATGACGGGAATGCGTGTGTCCCGAGTGGAATCAGACTGGATCCCTGTTCTGGCCCCTCATTAACTGTGTGACCTTAGGGAGGCCACCCCACTTCTCTAGACCGTCCTCTGGCTGTACAGTCTGGGTTCCGGCGGCAGAGTGGAGTGGCACACGGTAGGCTCCAAGCGCAGACCGCCAATCTGACTCAGCAGCTAGAACAAGGACTAGATTCCTTAAGGACTGGGCCGGGGGCCCGTTGAGCGCATCACTGGAGTGAGGGAGAACCCGGACCCGACGCCCTGCTGCGAATTCCTGCAGAACTAAACTGAAAGTGGCTCCGAAAGCTGCGCGGCACACCGGCGGACTTCAGATCCAGCAAGCATTTATTGATCACTTCCTGTGTACGCACTCGGTCGAGAAAGGGAATTTGGAAACGAAAAGATGGGGTGGGGGGAACCGCTGAAGGAAAATAATTTTAAAAGGAAAAACGAAGGGACCCAGAAGTGGAGGGAAACCCTGACCCAAGACCGCCTTCAAAGGCGGAGAGCTCGGGTTGGGGTCCCGGGGCCTAGGCTGGGGAGAGGGGGCGGGGAGGCGCGCCTGCCTCGCCTGCAGCTACCGCCTCGCTGGAGCCACGGCGCGTCTGCAGAACGGGAACCGTTGCTCATTACGGCAATTATGTTGCTCTAAATTTGCCCGACCCTAAATTGCTAAACTCAGAGGAGCCAGGAGGCCCCGGAGCTTGGGCCGGAGACACTCGATCCCACCCCGCCATTCCTCTATGCCAAGGAGGAAAGGGACTGTCAGGCTGAGAACTAGCGTGAGCTGAGAACTCAGATTCACCCGGGATTCTCCGCGGGCCCTCCGGTGCAGGGTTGGTTAACACTTCCCTAAACCGTGAGGGCGAGGACCACGAGGCCTCTTTCTTGGGTGAGAAAACCGAGGGACAGAGAGGTGGTGTGATTTTTGCCTGCCCAAGGTCAGAAGGGCACCAAGAGGCAGGCTTGACCACGAACTGCATCTGCTCATCTGGGATAAACTCAGTACCACTGTCCACTGGACCATGTCCAGTGGTGTTCCAGGAAGGAACCCAGGAGTTTTGACCTAGGGGTCAGGGTGTCTGGGGGTCAGAGTGCCATACCCCGAACTCCTTAACTCATATGACTGAAAGAGGCCAGTGCCTCTAAAGAACACTGGTGAGGATACAAACCTCATAGGTGTTAACTCCTCCATCTTGGGCATGCCCCCCCCCAAGATCGGGTTCCGGCCTTCCTTACTTAGGCTTTAGGGAGGCCCAGAAATTGAAAGTCACTTTCTAACTTTTTGGTTGTTACACTTAACCTTTAATGGCTGCGCTGTCCCTCCAGTCCAGAAAGTCACTTTCTAGACACACAAACACACACACACATACACACACACACACACACACACACACACACACACAGGATCTCTCTGAGTTCAAGGCCAGCCTAGTCTATATAGCGAGTTCCAGGCCAGCTAGGGCTACAGGGAGATAGACACACAAACACACACACACATACACACACACACACACACACACACACACACACACACACACACAGAGAGAGGAGAACTTAGCTCCAGGCCATCTTGTCCTTTTCTGGAGGAAGTTGTGACAAATAGCCAGGGGAAACAGAACCTTAACTCCAGCAACCCTGTGCGGGAGGGTTCAAGTCCTCTCTACACTAGCTCAGTCCCAGCACAGAGACCTAAGGGACTTGCCTGAAACTTTGGCTTCCCAGGGAATTCTCCAGCCTATCTTGCACTTTGGGGAGTTGAAACTGTTCACTCTATCTGGGACATGTCCATCCTCCAAGTCCAACGCCAGGTACTGGAGTTCTAGCAGCCCTTGGTCTACAGGCTTCCCTTTCTTGAGGTGTAAGGACACAGGCTACCCTGGGCTCTCCTGTAGTGAGTTCAGACTCACAAGCTACCAACAGACAGAAGCTGGAGGAGAGATTTATTAAGGGGTCAGTTTCTGTCCTCCACATCCTTACAGAATTTTTCCCAGAAAGCCAAAATTGGCACTTGTCCAAATACATTTTTCTTGGAAGCCCAAACTTGACTACCTGCAAGAAAAACCAAGTTTATGAGGGCAGGAAAGCAGGGCCCCAGCGTACAGTGGCCCTGGGTTTTCTACGCAGTTGGATGTGGTTTTTGTGCATGTTTGTACACACAACATGGGGTTGTACTAGTCCTGTAAAAGCACTCAAGATGAGTTCCACACATCGCGTCTACACTGCTGGCGATTTAGAAAAGCGGAGTAATCATTTCTGTCCTCCACCTGGCCTCCGGTGGGAAAAGAAGAGGTTTTAGGGGGTGGGAATTGTCTGGATTAGCTGTCTGCAGTCATCAAACTATTTGAGCAAGTCACTTTGTTTTCACAGACAGGTTAAAAGGGGAGGAAAAAAGGAGAAAGAGTCAGCATCATTCCAGCTTAAAGTGAATTGGAAAATTGAGCCTAATTATCCTAGGTAATTGCTTCAATTCTCCACTTCACTTAGTTAATGCAGCTCTGTCCTAGGTGCTACAAAAGACACACAGCCCCCTTCCTGCAGATCTTGTCACCTTTGAACGTTGCTAGAGCAAAACTAACACCAGACTTGAAAGCAATTGTATATGTAAAGAGACAGAAAGAAGGAACTGTACAGACAACTAAATCAGCAGGCATCATTTCTTGTAGCTTAAAATTAATTTATTTAACAAATATAGCTATAATATAAATGATAATAAAATTTCAAATATACAGTATATTACATAGTACACACGATCCCTTCCAAAGGGATGCTTGGGAGCCACAGAAATGTACTGTTAAATAGAAACAGATTTTTTTTTAAATTTTACTTTTTGTTTTTCTGGTCCTAGGACAGGCAAAGTCCCTTCAACCTACCTTCAAGCACACTAGTATGCTCTGCTGGCCCTCCCCCAACCGCAGTGCTTCCCCGTGAAGCTCTGGGGAGTTCACCAATGGAAGGAGCTGGGGTGTGTCTGTCCCCTTTTCTCCCAAGCACTGTCCTGATTCCCCGCATCAAACAGCAGTTTCTGAGCGTTTCCTGCCTAGTGTCAGGACAGGAGGCAGCGGTGCAGGAGACTGGGCCACTGGTCCCCTCCAATTTTTAATTCTGTTGGGGACCCTAGAATAAATCTCTCGGCCTCGGTGGCCTTAGTTTGCCCATCTGTAAGTCAAAGATGTGGATCTAGAATCTCTTGAAGAGTGCAAGCTGACCCTTCCAGCCACCCCCCTTTTTTTTTTCCAGAGGGGTCAGACGGGAGAAGGAACTCTTGGAGAAGGATCCAGGACCTGGGTTAAAGAGAAGGGGCCAGGTAGTGTGGGCAGGGGAGCGTGGTAGGAAGGGCTCAGCTGGAAGAGATGGCTGGGGGGCAGGGGAGGCACCGTGGGGGGCGACTCTGGACCCACCTATGTCAGGTGGTACATGCTGTAGCCGACATGGGCGGTGTAGAGTCCCACGGGCGCCACCGGCAGCGCGGCGCGCTGGAAGGGGCCAGAGGCACTGTAGAGTGAGGCGCCAGCGGCTGCGGCCACAGCTGCGGGGCCGCCGAGAGGGAAGGACAGGCCGAAGGCGGCTGGTGGCAGCATGGGTTTCGCGGCCATCTTCAGCTTCTCCAGCTCTGCCTCCTGCAGTCTCTTGGCTTTGGCGCGGCGGTTCTGGAACCAGATCTTCACCTGCGTCTCGGTGAGGCTGAGCGAGCTGGAGAACTCGGCGCGCTCGGCGATGGACAGGTACTGCTTCTGCCGGAACTTGCGCTCCAGCGCCAGCAGCTGCGCGGTGGTGAAGGGCGTGCGGGGCTTGCGGTTGGTTTTGTGCTTGCGGAGGGTGCAGGCCGGGGGGCTCAGCCGCCCTGGAAGGACCGGACAGAAAAGGGCAGGGGGTTAAGAGAGCCTCTCCGGAACGTAAGCAGCCCAGAAAGTAGTACCGTCACTGACAACTCCAGGTTTTAATTTCCCCCCAAGCTTGGCATAGTGCAGGGCACTTGAAAATTATTTTCTCCAGCCCCCGGGGCAACTCAGCTCCTCAGCCAAGACGGTCTTGTCTGTTTCCAGGTGAAACCTACCCATGTTCAGAGCCAGAATACAACTGGGCAGAGACAGCACCAACCCACCTTACAGACAGCTTAGGAAGAGCTTTGCCCACCTGGCCTCTTCCAGGCCACTGAGAGAAAGTGGATACAAAGAAGGCCTTAAAACAACACACAGAGGCCCTGCACCCAGCCCAAGGTCACAGAGGAGTTTTAAGCCTTGGCAGTACATTTGTGCCCACTAAGGACTCAGTGCTAGGCTAGGCCTCACTTTCCCCAGAAACAGTATGGTTTCTAGGGTCAACAGAAAGAAGCTAGCGCTGTGACATTCAGGCCGGTTTTAACGGGTTTCAGCTTCTCACACTCCGTTTTCTCTCCAGGCTCTCCCTTCAGCAGCGCCTGGATCCTAGGGCCACACCAAGATAGATGTGTGTGACAGTTTCTTTACTTGTGGTGGTTTCTGAAAGCGGTGGTGCCCACCTGTCTTTTTCTTTTGGCTTCTAGATAAACCTTAAGTCCCAGCAGAGTGGTGCCACTTGCTTGAGGACCAGTGTAGTTGGGGGATTGGCCTACAGTTCCCCATCACCTCTTGCTATATGCCTGATGTCAATCAGGTAGGATAAAGATGCCTGATGCCAGTCAGGTCGGATAAAGCAAGTCCCAGCAATCCTTCCCAGATCGCCTGGATTTGGAGTTCTGGGTGTGAATTCCCAAACCAAATTTCCAAGTCTTATACAGGGATCTTTCCCTCTACAGTAACTTCCAGTCAGAAAGGGAATTGAAATTGAGGCTCTCACCTGGCCTATGTATTTTTTAGTGCCTTTTTTTTTTTTTTAAATCCATGTGCTCTCAGACCACCAGGATGTGAGTCAAACCAAATCTCTAGTCAACATCCCCCTTCCTCCCCAGAGTAGGCCGCTGCAAGTCGGGAAGCAGTTGGCCCCAGACAGGTTTTCCGCCAGGCCCGGGGAGAGGTCGGCACACAGGGAAATGTCACTCTAGTCAGCGGCAGTAGCCCAGCGCTGGGCTGGCTACCTTCCCCAGCCATTAGGCCCAGGGAGGGGCTGGCCTGTTCAAAGACGGTTAATCTCCAGATAAAAACCATTCCTCAGCATCGAGCCATTGAATTCGTAATGCCATTATGTAGTGTAAAATAATCGGAGGAAACGAGGAAAACTTGGGAATTTCCCGTGCTCCTGAAATATCTCTGAGCGGGTTCACTGGGCAAAGCACTGCCAGGGCTTTAAGGCCTTGAGCAACTACCCCACTACCCCGGAACCGGCAGCTGGAGAGTGGGACAGCTTCGAAGGCCTAGTCTTTAGGGCGCTTGCAGTGCGGTTAATGGGGCACCTTTGGTTGACTTGTTGCCTGGCCCACCTCCACCGGACCCTGATTGTCCACGCTTGCTAAATCGTGCCTCTGCCCAAAGCACCAGGTAGTTACCTCGAATTTGATGGGTGAAGCTTTGTAAGCGCTCCAGAACCTCGGGATAAGTACTAAAGGAGGAGGGGGTTGTAGGCTGCTAGGAGAAAGTGAAAGTCCACACAGTGAAGCTGTCCTCGGCGCTGCGGCCCACCTCGCTGGGGGCAATGCAAAATAAGGTTTAGGGTTCGCTGGAGGAGCTGGGACTTGGTTGGAAAAAAGTGCCCAGGCACCAGTGTACTACAAGTCGACCGGCAAGCTTGGCGACACTGCGCCAAGGCAAAGGCAGGTAAAACGTGGACCACGAACTTGGCCTGCACCAGGCCTCTAACCTTCTTCCTGGGTGGGAGTGGGGAGAGGCATAAAAGGCATCCTGGCCGTCGACGCAACCTCCGCACGGCCTCCAGGTAACCAGCTGCAGGTACGAAGACGCCTGAGACAAGCCGGCGCCTGCGCTCGGCCTGGCGCCCTCGGGCCGCACACCCCCTCCCGGCCCCTGCGCCGGTCGCCCGCGGCTGGCTACTTACTGGCTGGGGGCGGGGAGAAGCGGGGACTCTGCATCCACGGGGTCCGATCGGGCTTCTCGGGGCTCTCGGCCTTGACCAGAGCATCTTCTGGCAGCTTGAGCAGTCCTCCCACCGAGAAATGGCCGAGCGGCCGCGGAGAGGAGGGCGCGTCCGGGCCGCCCAGAGACCCGGGCCGGACGCTCAGCGACTGCACGGAGCCACCCGCCGCCTGCGCGCCCTCGGAGGTCGCCAGGACGCTCTCCTTGGCCCCGGGTTTCCTGTGATCGGCCATGAGCGCCTCCACGCTGAAGGGCAGGAGCGAAGGGGGCACTTTGGGCTTAGCCCCCTCCTCATCTGTGCCCATGGCGGTCGCCGTGGCCGCGGTCGTGGTGGGAGCCTGGCCCGCGCCTCCCCCCGCAGGCTTGCCGAAGGCGGAGTCCTCCACTTTGACACCGAGAGGCAAAGAAGTCATCGCAGCAGCCGGGGCCATGCAGAGCCGGGCCCCTCTTCCAGCCGCAGCACAGGCCAGCCCTGGAGCATGGGTTTCCGGCGGGCTGGGAGCGTGGCCGGCCTCGGCGAGCGCCCAGGGCCCTGGCCCGGCCGGCCCTCCCGCGCGCGCCTCCCGCAGCTCCCCAAGTAGGCCGGCTCCCGGCGCGCAGGGCCTGGATCCCCGCCGCCGCGCTGGCCGAGTTCCCGGGAGCACTCGCCGGCTCCGGGTCCGCGGCGGCTCCCCAGAGAACTTGTTAATAAGGCGAGGCCAGCGCGGCAGTAGCCAATCAGCGCGGGAGGGGGCGGGCCCGGAGCTATCCATTGGGCCGCGCTCCTGGGTACAAGCCTCGGGGCGCGTAGGGCCCGTGGGCGCACTGGACAGGGCCTGGCCAGCCGGGGCCAGAGAGGGGCGGGGGTGCCTGGGAGCCCTTCCGCAGCGCTTAGCCCAGTGGGCATCTCCAATGCTGGGTCCCCTTGGATGTCTATCCTACCGGGTCCCGGGGGCTCTTTCCCTTATCCCCACTCTTCGTCAGCCCTCTCTCCTCCCCCTCTCCCTCTTCCCTCTCCCCTCCTTCCATCCCCCTGCCACTCTCTTTCTGTCCTCTGAGGCTTCTCCTATAGTTTGTTGCTATTCCTCTGCGTCCCCCTGCCTTTCTCTGACCCCCACTTCTCTACTAGGATGGTTTGGCTTCGGTTCACTTCTCCCATATTCTTTTATATTTGTTTTAAATACTCGTAGTTATTTGTCATAGTAGAAAGTAATAATAGTAATTTCTTTTTTTGAAATACTTGAAGTTTCTTGTCTGTTTCAAGCTTCAAAACTTTACCTCGGGGTAAAAGTGGGCCTTTGTCTCTACCTAAGGACTGGACAAAGTTTGTTAAAGGAAGGCAAGCAACACGATCCAGATAATATATTCGGTTTTCATACATATGTATATCCCCACAGACATTTTTCTCGGGAGAGTTACACCTCTACCAGTCACCCGCTGGCGAAAGGAGCCACTTCATCCTTTGGACAGAAATTTTATTCATATGTATATATATATTATATATAATATATATGTACATACACAGAATATATATATATAAACAGAAACTCCAACAAAACACCGATGTGGCCTCAACGTGACCTCGGACAAAGGTCCTCGGAAACAATAACAAGTTCCCATCTCTGGGTGGCTGGTCGCGAAGGGTAGAGGCACATATGGGGGAGGGGACCAGAGAAAGAGAGCAGTTCCCTGCGGTGCATCTTTGGTGAGAGGTTTAAGAACTTTTGTTTTGCCAATTTCGAAGGAAACGTGGTTTTATTTTGGCTATTATAAAAAGGAGGGAAAAAGGGTAGGGAGCGGGGAGAACGACAGGTCTCTGTGAACTGGGGTCGGGCGGGCCAGGTTTTGGGGGGGGCCTTCTCTTTTATACCCTCTTATCCTGGGGCCCAGGCCGGCGGCTCCCGGGGAGCCAGCGGAGGTGGAGATTGGCGGCTCACCGGGACTGGCCATTGATGACTGCGGGGCTCTAATCTCCAGGAAACACCAGGGGCTGCCGTGGCCATTTAGGGGTAATTATCCGAGCGCGGAGGGACAGCGAATTCCCTCGCCTTTTAACTGGGCGCAATAAAAAGCTGTAGATTAGGGGCGACCAGATTAAGGAAAATGAATTACTAGAGCAGGAACTTTATTACCCAGACGGCGTCCGGGGTCTGGAGGGAGGGGTCGGGCTGAGGACGCCAGAGAGATCGGAGCCTTGCAGCAGCCCACAGGGCCTGGAGAAATACTAGGCCTCGGGGCGGGTTCGGGAATACTCGCTTCTGAGAAATGCACGCGTCTCTCCGGGTTCCTTTTGCATCCCAAGCGCCGCGCAGGGCTTGGGGGCTCTGGCTCTCGTTGGCTCTGCGGGACCCTTGGTGCACTGGGGGGCCCTGAGGTCTATTCGTGTATACAAATGGTAGAAGCCACGCCACCCCGTTTTCAAGTGAGCAAACGAAAGCGAGGCCAGGCCGTAGGCCGAACGCCCCACTCACAGCCCAGCCCGGACGGCGACCTTCCACCGCTGGAAGTTCTAACTTAACTGTCACCATCTCCACTCCGCTCCGCAGCGCACGCAGGTTCTAGCTCTGCGCTCTGTTAAAGCAAAAAGGGAAACAAATCCCCGCGTGCCTTTTTGGTCACCATTTGAAAAAAACAACAAAAAAACCCAACAACGACAACCAGTAGTGTATTTTTCAAAAGGTCGCGGCTCTTGCTTGTTCCACTCGGGTGCCCCAATTCAAAACGATCACTTTAAGAATCCGATGTAAGCTTGGAACTTTTTCCCTGAAAAAGTGCATGTGGCCGAAACCGAGCTCCTCGCAACTGTGCAGGCAATGTCTGGCACTCGCGGGCCCACTCTGAGTTAGGATGTTAAGAAGTCCGGTTTTATGGCCGAGGGGGCCTCGAACCCTTAGACTGGAGCCACGGGGCGCTCGGGGGGCTTCGGCGTGCGCTGGCGGCCGGAGCGGTGAGGCCTGGCCTCAGGCCGGGGGCCGGGGCGGCCAGAGAAGGGCCGCATCGCTAATTGCGGGGATAAACAATCTGTCACGATCCCTCAGCGCGCCTAATAGGCAGACGAGGATGTTGTTTTTAGGCGCCAGCGGCGGCCGGATCAAAGGCTGCAGCCGGCGCAGGGGCCCTTGAAGTCGCGCCCCTGCCTCCAGGGAGCAAATAGCCTGCGCCCGCAGCCCTGGGCCCTGCACTCGGCCCCTGGCCTTTCTGAGTCCGTTTCAAAGCCCACAGCATCTTCTTTTTAGGATCGATCTGAGTTTGGGCCTGAAATGGTCCAGCGCTCCCGGGCTAGCCCGATTCAAGTGTTGCAGAACGAGAAGAGCGTGTCTGCAGAGCGCAGGGGCTCAGGCCCGGTGCAGCGTAGGGACTAAGCGTGTGCCACTGGGCTGTGCGGGAAAGGGGTCCCGGGACCCAAGTGGAGGGAGTCAGAGAAACAAAATAAAACCGTGTCCCGGGGGCTGTGGCTGGTTCCCGGGGGAGGCGAGGCATGCCTCCGGGAGAGGCGAGAGCACGCATCCTCGGAGTTCAGTTTTGTCTGGCCTCTGCGGATATCCCGGAGGTCGGTGGGTTCAGCGAGCTGACAGCCTGGGGACTAGGCCTGTTATCTGCTACCCCGAGGCGCTTCCACCTCAGCCCTGCCCCGCATTTCTCCGCAGGCGGCGAGAAAGCCAGCCGTAATTCATGCCTGGCAAGGGCAGGGCTGGCCCGCTGCAGATAAAGCTCTGGGACCCTCACGCTGCTAGGAGCCCCGCTGACTCTCCTCCCCTCCTCCTCCTCTTCCCTAGTCTCCCCAGTCTCGGGCACCCTAACTCACTCCCCTCTCCCAACAAATTGCCTCTGCCTTTCAGATCCTACAGTGTGATTGTCCCGCGCAGCAGTTCCTGGGCGACCACACGCGTGTTTTTCCTCCACCAAAACGTTAGTTTTACTGGGATAAACGAAGGCGGGGGCAGGGCGATGTGATTGCTCGATATCTTTCCCCGTGGGGGGGGAACCTTGTATTGGGACAATTTTAAAGACTGTTGTCACTGAGTATCCCCGCTCCAGGGCTGAAAGGGCCTGCTATCCACTTCTGCGTTCGTTGGCGGCCCCCATCTACCCTTTTCCAGTGCGTTTTATGGCCTTGGCCCAGGAGCCCCGCATTTTTAAAAATATGTAGCTCAGTGGGATCCGCCGGCAATTAGCCCCAAACAATCCTCTTTAATAGCATGAATGTACTATGAAAAACGATTTATTTTGGTAGGAATTCACCAATCGCCCGGAAGGCAGCAGAGGGGGAGTAAGAAGCGGTATTTTATCCCAGGTGGGGGTGGGGGCTGACGCATAGACGGAAAGTGCCTGAGATGTCCTAACCTGCTAAAAAGTCCTCCCGGCCCTGCCACCTCTTCGCTTAGCCTCTGTCGCTGAGGGGCTGGGAGTCGTTTGAGAAACTGCCCAGGGATGGAATCACTCGTTCTGGAAAGTTGTCAAAGCTTTCCAAGGAAACACCCCAGATATAAGAACTAGCAAAAATCTTCAGTTACCGAAGATGCAAAGCCTGTGGGGTGGGGGAGGGACATGCTTTGGGTTTTCCAGGACATGGACCTTCTTAACGCGACGTCGAAAGAGGCTTTTCTAGAAGGTGTTCTCTCTGTTGCAAACTCCTGACATCGGAGGAAAGGCGCCAATCCTGTGGATTCTCGAGAGGAACTGACGACTAGGCTCTACCTTGTAGCCCCGTCCCACCCAACCCCCCACTTGCCCTGGGCTCCTTTAGCTCCCCCAGGCCTCCTGGTGTCTTTAAGGGGGCCAGGATCCTCGGAAGAGAGAGCCTCCTCTTCAAATGGCACAAATCAATGTGATCGGGACACGAGGGTGCACTTGGGAAGATGAAAGCCGCGGTCTGCCGACTCCTACCAGGACTCTATAATTATAGATAATATATCCCATTTCAAAGCAATTAGACCAATCAGGCGTAACGAACCACTTTGCTGCCGACGAATAACAAAGGCGCACGGTTATTTAAGCCTGGAGATGTCAGGCAGACCCTGAGGCTCCAGCCGCCCCCTACCACCACCAAAGTCCTCCACCCTGGCTGGGCCCACTGCTGTCCCGGAAGGCTCCCCGAATTCCTCCCGCTTTGCTGAATGCTGAAGTATTTCTCTGAGCTCCTGGTGGGAAGGGTAAGGGTTGGAGGGAATGGGAGAGGCTGGGTGTCAGGTCTCTGTCAGAAGTCATAGACTTTATCTGATTTCATTCTTTCTACTCTGGGAGCTAGTGGACTTAGCGCTGCACCCCCAGATGGAAAGGTAAAGTGAGAGAGGGTAAGAGTCATATACAGCCAGTTAGTGGTTTAGAGGTAGCTGTCAGGATTTGGTTGCTAGTAGGTCTGAACCCATCCACCTTCACCATTCCTGGGAGGAGCCTCTCTCTCAGCCCTTTCAAAAGCCAAACTGCATTGAAATATTAAGGATCTGCTGGGTAGTGGGTGGATCTGCCTCTAGTCCCGCCCTCAGTCCAGGAAGAGGAGCTGCCATCTCTCACTGACTACCCTGTTCTTCCTCCTCCCACCAGCTTCATAAAGAGTCAGGGCCAATGAGGTTTCTCATGAATTTATCAAAAGCCCCAGCTCTTAGGTCTGTCTGAGAAGAAAGCAGGCCTGGATTACAGGCCCATTTTTCTGGGATTTGGTTTGTCAACTTGAAGATG